TATCTTACGTCTCGCCCTGTAGAGCGCCTTCGCCGGGGCCCCGCGGACGCGGCCTCTGGGCTCCACCCGTAGCTGCCGGCGGAGGTTCCGCAAGCGCTGCAGTAGCGGGCGGCCCTGTCTGTGAAACTGCGCCAGCTGAGGATCTCGGCCCTCCCTTCCCGCAACGAGCTGCAACGCTAGCCGCCGCGTCAGTGAACTTTGAGATCGTCGGGAGATCGAGGCCTTGCGAATCCAGTCGTGGCAGCGGGAGGCCCAGAGCTTCCCCGGTCTATCCCCCTTGGAGGCACCGCTGGCAGCCAACGTTTAGCCTTGCGTTCTGCGTCGCCAACTTCTCGTGCCAGGGCAAAAACAATTCTTGGGCCCCGCCCAGCAAACGGAGAAAGTCATCTTGAAACCGGTCGACTTGGCGGGGTCGTTGCCACCGCGCAGCTTCTGCGGGTAGAGTGGCCCCCTGTTTCGCTGGATAATCGGCGAAATCGCCCCCCCGCGTTATCTTTCTGGTGAGATTTGTCCCAGGCGATGTCGGTTTTGAAATACTTCCAAGCCTTCTGCATCAGGTGCCTCAGGAGATGAGCGATCCAAGCGTTTTCCCTTGGGCGCGTGGCCCCCTCTGCGATCTGGATCGCGCACTTCGCGTCGACGCGCGACGTGATGGTGGCCCCCAGGGGCGTCGGGCACTCGTCGGTCCTCGGTCGCTTTCGGGCCCCTGGGTTCACAGAGAGGCCAAACTGAACCTGTCCTTGTTTAAGAAGCCAGAAGCATAACTCGATGGCCGCCGTGATTTCGGCCGTGCCGTTTGTCTCCCCCACGGCGCCTAGATGCGCAATGTGATTCGGGTCGTTCGTGGCAGGCCCTCGCGCCGAGGCCAGCGACTCCTTCCTAGATGTTGGCGCGCATCATCCAGGAGGCAAAACAGCAGAGCCACATCCCGCCTTAGGTTCCGCCCGTCTCGGCAACCGACGCCCCCTGGAGGAACTCCCATCGGGCCAGGCGTGCCAACTTCTGGGGTCCAGGGGCGGCTCGACCGTCGCCCCCTCGAACAGGGGCAGTGCCAGCTCGTCGCAACCCAGAATCGGGCACCCTGCGTCGCGCATGTGCCAGTGCAAATTCGACCTGCGAGATCTGATCGTTCTCGGCGGTCGGGGCGCCTTTTGATCTCGCAATTCCACTGCAATAGGCCGGCGGCCCGAGTCGGTAGCGGCTGAGGCGGGGATCCGAACTTCAAGCTGCACGCCGTTATTGAACAGGCCCCGAGACACCCCGACAAAGTCGACCCGTCGAGGGAGGAAGCCGCGTATATAATCATCGCGGCACGTCCAGCATTCCAGGGGCGCCGAGTCCAGAGCACTAACCAGGGCCAGGTAGGTCTTCAACGGCGTCGCCCCGTCTAGCAAGGGTTCGAGGTCCAACCCAGGGGTCCGCATGTCGATGTCCAACCGTCGTCTGAGCGTCCACCCCAATCACTAGGTGTTGACAAGATGAGTCTGCTATCAATTCATGTATGTGGACTAGGCGCGCATTGCAGCCCCCCGCGTGACCGCATGGGGGCATGTGTGCGCTGATGAGAAGTATGCTCTGTGACCCCTAACGAACACCCAAAGACATTGCCTCTCCCTTCTGACTGAAGTCTGCATCGATGTCCCCTCGAACGAGCGATTCACCACCACGGCAGTCCTTCTACGCCCCTGATATGAGCTCGAGACAAAAGGGGTATGACCTGAGTCCAAGGATGTGCAAACAGAACTGTCTGAGCATACTGCCTCCTGGAGTAAAGCACATCCCACTTCAGTTCCCTGTCCAGTTCAGCACAAAACTCGTTGAATTCAGATTCGATGCTACGGACATTCCAAGAAACAACTCGCAATGTGACGCACTGCCCTGGACCTCTTCTGGACCCATCCATCAGCGGGCGCCGAAGTTGATGTCCTGCAGGGCCTCGGCGAAGCGAATGTTCAGCGCCGCGCCGCCTGCCGTCGTCGATACCTCGAAGAGTCCAGTCATACGATTCGCCTCGTAGATCCTGGTAATCTGGCCGTCGGTCGCGCGGTAGCGCACGATCCCCGAGTCCCAGTCGCTCGGCACCATGCTGATGAGGTCGTCCTTCGTGGGATTCTGGCCGAAGGTATTCATTTGTTCAGCTCGCCGATGAGGAAGTTTCTGGCTGCTGACGTTCTCCTACTCATGGTCCTCTCGCTCTCCGTGTTGTCGATCTGGTGGAACCGAATCTTGCCTTCATACATGAAACGATGGCCCTTGAAGGCCTTCAGGAACGTCCACATGTTCTGGGAGGAACGGGACTTGATCTTGCCGAAGGAGCAGAACTGCCCAGGTGTATAACAATCCTCCACTAGGTCTGGGCCCGTCCATCCTGGGAACTGCGGCGATACGGATATGATCTCGCGGAGCTTCTGGAGTATGGTCGCCTTCTTGGTGTCCTGTGGGAAGCCGCTCACGACGATCACTTGTCTCCTGGTCTTGGGCACCCACGACGCGCCCCTGGCATACAGATTGTGAGGATGGTGGCGGTGTGCCGTGCCGCCCGAGTCTCCTATCACTGAACTGGCCGAACCTGCACTGCCTCCCCTGTTCCGCTCCAGCGCCGTGGTCCTCGCCGCCAACTCCGCACTATTCTTGTCGGTCCTGTCTAGCCTAGTGTTGAAGGCGTACATCCGGTGTGTGTGTTCGCATCGATATTCAGGTCCATCGTCGTCTGCTCCAATGACACATGATCGATCTTCGAAGTGAGCCCATCGAACTGCGGGCGGAGGGACATCTGGATTGCCATCACCATCGCATGTGCCTCGTTGCTCAACCCCGCGGCAGGCGGTGGTGGAAGAGCGGAGGATCCTGGTGCGGGTCCTGCAGAAAGGGGGACACCGCCAGTGCTCACTGGTCGCCCGCCACACATCTCGTAATCTGTCGGTACGTCGTCACCACGGGCCTTCTTCATAGCGGACTCGCCTGCAAGGAGGGCCGTTGCGACTGGGGAACTCGCAGTCGCGGCCATGGGAGCGAAAAATCTGGAAGGTCGGTCGAAGAGGAGAAAAACTGGAATCTGAGACTGCCGCGCGCGCGGGGTTCTCTGTGGGGCTCGCCGAGAGGACTCCTCACCTCGAAAGTCCCTTGAGCCGAAAAGAATGATGATGGTGATGATGAGGATGATGAGGAAAATGATGAGAAGAATGACGATGACGAGAACGAGACCGAGGAGGAGGAAGAGGAGGACAACGGGGACAAATGCGAAGGCTATGGGGAACGGGCGACGGGAGGATTCGTGATGTGGCAGTGGGCCCGCGTGCAGACGATACCCCTGCAGCTCCGAAGAGCACGCCCCGGCAGACTATGTATCGCCAGCGCCTCTCCTTCACCTCTCGCCTCTCCCGCCGCTGCCCCCGCCCTCTTCCGCCTCCGCCCCCCTCGGTTCCCCCCTCCCCCTGTTTCCCACCTTTCCCCCCTCCACCCTCCGCTGTCCCATCCTGTCCCCTCCGCCCCTCAGCTTCTTCGCCTCCTCCTCCTCCTCCTCCTCCTCCTCCTCCTCCTCCTCCCCCTCCGCCTGGCAAGAAGAACAAGTGGCAATAGTAAGATCGCAAGCAGGGTACCTATGGAGGTCATGAAAAGGAGGCGGAGGGCAGAAGGGCTACGAGGGAGACGAGAATCTGGTGGGAGCAAGCAGGTCAGGATGATGATCGGCAGGAGGAGTAGGCCTCCGACCAATCCGCACGTTCCTGGTTGGGGTGCGCCATCGGACCCCTTTCGGCGATCAGTGGGCGATTCGGGGTTGATGCGTCCCTCTGAGCCTCCCCTCCTAGCGTTGCCCTGGTGGTTTTCTGGTCACAACTCGACTCTCCGCGGGCTGTTCGGAGATATCTGGGCACCCCCCGATCGCTCTCGAGGCGCAGCCGCTGGAAAACATCCCGAGGCTGGGAACCCGACGAGCGCCGACGAGAAAGTCTGATGGCCTCGAACCTCGAAGCCTTTCGCCTCTCCATAGCGTTGCCCCTTACTGGAAGCCTCCGGGATGGGGTCGGAGTAGACGGGGTCGGAAGATCGCGCCGCATCGTCGATGCACCACCGATACATCGGCGATGCGCCGGCGACGTTGGCGTGGAGAAAACCGGGCTGGACATCGAGCCGCATCACCGCTGCATCGGCGATGCGGCGCGATCCTCCGACCCCACCTACTCGGACCCCCTCTGCAAGGAGGCCCTGACCCCTCCCCCCTGACCCTTCGGGGTTCTACTGATCCTGGTCAATCCAGACCCGGGTCAGCCAAGCCTTGCAAGATCCTGCGAAATCCAGCAGGATCCTGCAACCAAGCCGGGGTCAATGTGCCTCCTGCAAGATCCGGCGCTCTGACTGACCCATGTTTGCACTGAGCACCGTCCCTTGAACCCCGACCCCTCCCTCTCGGGTCGCACAAAGGAGGGGGGATAGCAAAGTGGGGGTGGCGAATCAGCTCACGTGGCTGATTTCTCCCCGTGCGCCTCCCGGCGCCAGAGGCGCCCACGCATCGAGGAATGGGCCTGGCGGCGGGTCCGAAACCAGCTACAGGCAGCGGATTCCGTGACCCTCCCTTTTTTTCGCCCCCTTGGCCTTTTCTCGCCTCCTCGCCGCCCCTCCCTTCGCCTCCTCGCCGTTTTCTCGCCTCCTCCTCGTCGCCTCCTGCCCCCCCTCTCCTTTCCCTATCCTACCCTTACGAGGATGAGGAGGAGGCGGAGGAGGAGGAGGAGGCGGCGGAGGAGGAGGAGGAGGACGAGGAGGGGGAGGAGGAGAAGGAGGAGGAGAAGAAGGAGGAGGAGAAGGAGGAGAAGGATAAGGAGAAAGCCCTTGGGGGTCTGAGTTACTTCGCCTACTGAAGAAAGGCAGGACCCCTGGGTTAAAATTGGATGCAGGAGGAGGAGGAGGAGGAGGAGGAGGAGGAGGAGGAGGAGGAGGAGGAGGAGGAGGAGGGGGGCCGACCCCCCCTGTCCTTCGGCCCGACCTTCCCCGAGCCGCCCCTCCCGGGCGACGGCTTCATCGAGCTGGCGCTGCAGCTCGCGCGAGGCACGGCGCCTCTCCTGCGCGAGGCCCGGGCGCGCGGTGGCCCGCGGCACGCCGCCGCGCGCCGCCCGCGCTTCTTCCCCGCGGGGGAGATCGGGGAGCGCTCCGGCCGCAGGTCTGCGGCGGAGTGCCCAGACTTGGCGGTGAGGTTTCGGGCTCCAGGTTCGAGGTTTTCGGGCGTTTTCGGCGGTTCTCGGCGGTGTTCCAGCCTCGGGATGCTCGCCAGCCGCTACTCCTCACCGCGGGCGTTCCGGGGGTGCCGGGATCGTCCCGAACGCCCGCTGGAGACCCAAGTTATGACCCAAGTACCAAATTCGGCGGCAAGCGAGGGGGGGGACGTGAGAAGGAGGAGGCCTCCTCAGAAGGCGGCGGGACTTCTCAGAAGCCCCCATCGCGCCTCCTGATCAATTTTCTGCATCTTCGGGGAAGGCTAAGGAAACTTCTCAGAAGGCCGGGGGACCTCCGAGCCTTGTGAGAAGGCCCGCCCCTTCTCACTTCCCCCCCGGGCTCGCCGCCGACAGTCTGTCCCAGACACGCAGCCCTGAGATCCTGGCGTTTCAATGTTTCGCGCCTTCCTGGCTTCCCGACGCTCCAAGACGAGCCACGAGGCCCCGAAGATCGCCCCAAGATGGCCCAAGAAGCGCCCAAGACGGCCCAAAGACGGCCCCAAGAGGGGGCCCAGATGGGGATCCCGAGCCCTCGACTACGAGGAGCCCAAGAGACCCCGAGAGGCGCCCAAGAGGCCCCCAAGCACAGAGAGGCCCTCAAGAGCCCCCAAGAGGTTCCCGAGAGGCCCCCGAGAGGCTCCCAAGAGGCCCCTAAACTGCCTCCAAGAGACAGCCGAGAGCGCACCGAAGAGACCCGAATAACTAAGCATCCCTGAGAACTCTGACCCACAAGGCAAGCATGGCGGCGGGATGGGCCGAATGCCATTACCTACCTACCTACCTACATGCATGCACATCCATACACACATACACATACATATTACACATACATATATATGTATACACACATCAACCCATCCATTCATCCATCCATCCATGCATCCATACATACATGCATGCAGCCATACATACATGCATACACACATGACATACATACAGACACACAGACACACAATCAGACACACACAAGTGCAACCATACATGCATACACACATACACACATACGTACACACCTGCGTACGACCTTGCATACAAACATACATGCATACACACATAGAAACATACAGCCAACCAAGCAATCGTACATCCACAAATCCACATGATCATGCATACCTACATATACATCAGAAACCATACATACACAAACATACATACATACATACATAGCACATGCACACATATACATATACATAATCAAACGTACATCCAGGCATCAATGCCTCCATATATCCAGATACGCATACGAGCATACAAATATACACATCCACATACACGCATGCACGCACACCAGCGTGCATACATCCGTATACACACAGTCAGACATGCTCGCATCCAGGCATACGGACACACAGACAGACAGACAGACACACAGACAGACATACACACATTCATACGTACACATACATACTGCATACATACATACATACATACATACATACATACATACACACATACATACATACACACATACATACATACAGACATACATACATGCATACACACATACAAACATACACACATACACACATACATACATACATACATGCATACATACATACATACATACACGCATACATACATACACACATACATACACACATACATACATACACACACCTACACACATATATATATATATACACATACATAAATACTTACAAACATACACACACGCATACGTACACACATACACACACGCATACACGCATACACACCTACACACATATCTACATATACACGTACGTGCATACTTACATGCATACCTACATCTCCATCTATACATACATATATACACCCATGTATGCATACATATACATGCACATATGCACACACAAACATACTGTACATACAGACGAACCGGCAGAGAGACCGACAGGCGGTCAAGCAGACAGACAGACACACTTACACACACCTACATCGAACTACATAATATGCAAATGTATGTTAGCATGCCTGTCATGCTCGCACTTCGTCGTTAACAAGCAGCCTGCGTCGTTTTATCGCTGTCTTAACGATGTGACGAACTCCTTCCTTTTATTCGTGGCGCAGAATGTAGTGAGGCTGCGTTGTGACGTGCCCTGTTCCTAATCCTTTCCCTCTTGTCTCTTCTCCCCCTCCTTTTTCTCTCTTCCTCCACATCGTCATCCGCCCTCTACCCTCGCTGCCCATCTCTTCCATTCCCTTCTCGTCTCTTATCTTCTCTTCCCTTCCCAGAGAACATCACCTCTCCTTCGCCACATCGCATGCTGATTACCACTTCCTGTGAACCACGTGACAATCAGAGTCTGCGGTTGCGCCTGTCAATATTTTCGTATACACGCAACATACGATAATGCGCATCACTCACTGCAAACTCCAAGCGCGCAGAATCAACGATGCGTGGTACATTATGCATTGGGACCGTTGCGCGCCACCTCGCACCACAACACATCATCGCCTCGTCTGAACCCTGTACCTCGACCTCTGCTCCTCCGTGCTCTTCTTCATCTCTCCCCCAGTGACCTTCCCCTGGTGCTTCTGCTGCCCCTTCGAGGGAAAAGATAACGCCGAGCAAGGCAGGTCGAGGAGGTTCAGGAGGCCGAGGAGGAGGAGGAGGGGGAGGAGGAGGGGGAGGAGGTGGAGGAGGAGGTGGAGGAGGTGGAGGAGGAGGAGGAGGAGCAAGAGGAGGAGGAGGAGGCCGAGGAGGAGGAGGAGCAAGAGGAGGAGGAGCAAGAGGAGAGAGAGGACAATAGGAGGAGGAGAGGAGGAGCAAGAGGAGGAGGAGGAGGAGGCTGAGGAGGAGGAGGAGGAGGAGGAGGAGGAGGAGGAGGAGAGGAGGAGGCGGGGACAGAGGCCTCCTGCTCCTCGGCCCCCCGCGCCTTCTGCCCACCCTTCGCCCCCCCAGGAGCTCCTCGGCCTCCTTCTCGGCCGCGTCGAGCCGCGACTGCAGAGCCTGCTTCTCGGCCTGCGCCGCCCGCTCCGCCTCGGCTGGCCGGGGAGGTGACGGAGAACGAGTCGGGGGCTGCTAAAGTAGAGGCCTCCTGCATGGGATCCGAGCAGAGTCGGACTCGATTGGGGAGGACACGCGAGAGGACACAAGGCCCTTCCAGGGGCCACAGCGCCATAAGAGTGCAGGAGGCATGGGTCGCGAGGCACAGGACACAAGGGTACCCTTGATTTGGCAGGATCGACCTACTAATCTGGGCCGACTGTAGATGGTGTCGGAGGATCACGCCGCATCGCCCATGCATCGGCGGTGCATCGGCGGTGCATTGGCGACGCATCGGCGATGCATCGGCGATGCATCGGCGTGGGGACAAGCAGGCTCCGCCTCGAGGAGCATCGCCGATGCATCGTCGATGCGGCGCGATCCTCCGACCCCATCTACTCGGACCCCATCTGGGAGTCCTAGACAAAAGGCGCTCCTGGCCCAGGGTGTCCTCCCAGCTGTTCGTTCTATTTTGGAGCTCCTGGGGCCCTCTGGGCCTCGTGAGTGGTGCTCTGGAGGCCTTTGGGGCCTCCTTGGACATCCTGGGGGCACCTCGGGCCAGGGGCACTTCTAGCAGCACCCGGACGAGGACCTGAGCAAACTCAACGCGCACCACCGGGCCCCGACATCCCAAGCCCTCTGCCCTCAAGCACTCACGGGTAACCCACGTCACTTTCCCTCGGTGCGCTCCGTCGTCCTCAAGACCATTCCCTGCTGCTGCGCCGAAGGAGCGCTGCTGGGCCTATGGCCTCGCAAGAAGTTCAGGGCCAGGGCATGATGAGCCGGTAGTAACCGCACGACTGCGTCAATGCTTGGGGCCTGAAGACACCGGACGGGCCAGAAATATACAGCTCGCTGTGGGACGTGGCCCAGGGAGGGAGGAACTCGTTTGAAGGCTACGCCCACCATCTTGCCCTGCCACGTTGACAGGTGGTCGTTTTCTTTGAGGAGGAGGAGGAGAAGGAGGAGGGGGGGAGGGGGAGGAGGAGGAGGAAGAGGAGGAGGAGG